ATTCTGCGGCCTGTTCGAACTCATTACTTAGCCAAAACTCTGGGAGTTCACTCTGCCCCTTCTGTAGAGTGAAACTACAGAGCAAATTCATTGTTTGGCAGAGTTTTTCGTTTCCAGTGAAGCCCATCGCGTGGTGCATCAAGAGCAAGTACTGTTCGTTCTGCAAACTTCACGAGGCGAAGGACCAGCCACCACCGGAACATGAGTGTCAAATGAATCACGTTGGGTATTCTGGGTCAATGGAGTCTGCCTCACTGTTGGAAATGGTGGAGTACGTGTATGATCAGTACCGCGTGGAGCCACACATGATACTGACAGATGATGACTCGACTATGAGTTTCTGTCCAAGGAACTCAGCTGTAGGTACACAAGAGCTGGAGATGGAGAGCTCAGTCTGATGGAGATCTCCTTCCACAGGTGTTGAAGCCACTCAACCAGCACTGCTTGCAATGGTTGGTGAGACGCTGACTACCCTGGTACAGGCCATGCAGAAACTACTCTACTGCAGGGCTAGGCTGTACTCTCTGGGTTCACAGGTTACTATTCATTTACTTGATTCTTCTTACTATGCTAGCTAGATAGATCAACTCAACACAACACTTCCTCGAGAGCAATCCACTGACAGGATAGTTGCTTTTGGAGAGGCAATCCTCTATACGGATCACTTCTAGAGAAGGTTTGTTGATGCCTATCATACTCATGGTATACATGCTGTATGTCATGCATACACATGGTACCTAGGCTTGCCTCAGCAATACATACAGTGCTGGATGATAGCATTGCTGGCTGTACTCTTTGACTGTACACGGGTTTCAGCAATGATGTCATACAGCTAAGTCTGCACAGCTATGGCGCACCCAGTGGCGCTTTCATGGATCCTCTTTTGGATCTTATCGCTCCCCTTCATCAGGGTTATCCATGGAGGCGTCAAGGAGTTTGCTGGTGTCTCCTTGCCAGAACATTAATGCCCTTAGGATTGGCCAGATCTGGGAATATCCCCAGTGTTTCGTCAGGATATCTGCTGGGTTGATCTCTCCTGGCATATGGTGGAAGGAGATGATGGCAGCGGCAATTGCTTCCCTGACAAAGTGGTAGCAGGATAGGGCGTGATGTCGTTTCTTGAGCGGGGAATGAGGTTGTGTCGAACTGGTGACCACAGAACCATTGTCTCCAAACATGTATGTAGGTCCCTTTACCTCCACACCAAGATATCTGAGTGTTACCCTTGCTGCGACGGCTTGTTGGGTGGCAACTCTAGCAGCTACAAACTCAGAACCATACGTTGCTACCTCTACAGTAGCTTGTTTCTTGCAGTACCATTCGAAAGGAGTCTGGTTCACGTAGTGTAGGACTCCAGTGACGGCTCTCCCCGTCACCCAATCATGGTAAAGGTTGGCATCCACATAGGTAGTCAAGACAACTGGTTTGCCTTTTGGTGGTGGTGCATCGGTTGGGAGCTCTTCCTTGACCTCGCCATATGTTGTCCGTTCCCAGTCGTAGACACGGTGTTCCAGTTGGGAGTAGTCAGGTTCCTCAGTGCGGACCCTGATTGCTCCACTCTTCATCTTGACAAGGAATCCAGTAATCCTTTTGAGTCTTTCGAGGTGTCCTACTCTTGGGGCAACCCTGAATGATGAGAGGGACATGACGGACACAGCAATATCAAATCTCCCGAGGGATATGGCCCATTGTAGAGCCCCAATGAGAGACTGGTACTTGGATATGCCATCATCATCCAATAGGGGGGAAGTGTCAAGTTCCGGGTGGTCGTTCTTTTCCACGGGACTGGTGACCTTGGTGGTTGGGTTCTCCCCAAACAAAGACACGTATTGTGCCTTGACACGGTCAACATACTTCTTGGGTGTCATTGAGAGCGTCCCGTCACTGTCTCTTTCGAAGTCACATCCAAGGTGGTAGGTGACAGGCCCAGTTCCTTTGAGCTTGAATTTGTGGGGTGGCGCTTGCAGCATATCAATGATCTTCTGCGGTTGCTTAGATGCTATGAGGAGGTCGTCGACGTAGCAGCCAATATATTCATAATGGTCACCGCAGTCTCGCATCCAGATGTCTGGTTCAGCCTTAGAGGGCTTGAAGCCGAAGCCGCGCAGCACATCATGGAGCTTGTCGTGCCAACACTTTCCAGATGATTTGAGGCCATATTGTGCCTTGATCATTTTCATAGTGTGTCCAGCTAGCTCCCCAAATTCTCCACCAGCAATGAAGCACACCTTCTCTGTGGTGTAGCTCTCTAGGTAAGCGTTGCCAATATCCGTTGCCCATAGTTCCAGTCCATTCAGTTCAGCTAGGAAGCTTACAAGACGGATCCCTTGAAGGGAGACAACGCCCGAGTATGTCGGGTCTACTGGCGTCTCTGTTCTGTGACCGCCGGCGACAAACCTTGCTTTGTGGCGTCCATCGTGTTTGACGGCGTAGATCATATGGCAAGGGATCTTTTGGTATCCCTTGGGGACAGGTGTGCCTTTTCCTAGTGACTCGAATGTGTCGTACTCCATGAGTTGGGCAAGCTCGAGCTTCTCCGCGTCTTGCCACTTGGTGTCTCCATTCCGCTGTATGATTTATGCGTAATGGTTTATTTCCGAACATTGTCTGAGCAGTGTCACACATTTCTGAGACTGACATCTCCAACATTAGGCTTTATGTAACTTTAGTCGCCGAATGGCTATCTGCCACTAAACACTGGACGCTGGATGAGTCTTGAAGCTTGAGGCCACTGGGCACCAGTATCACCACCGGTCCACAGCAACGCAGAGCACAAAGTAGGCACGGTACATATATGGAGGTTTCTACCGTGCGTAAAGCATAATGGTGCCAAACAACTTCACGATGCAGCCAGCCGTAGGAGAGCTCTAGATGCTAAGATCGCTCGATTGATGAGACGAAGATAAAGTGCTGGGGCTCTTGCACTGGTTATTCATCAGCCCGTGTACGAGCCAACCAATAACTACCGTATGCGTCCATGGTCGCAAGATTCTTCGCAGCGCCGTGTGCCCCTAAACAGCGCTGCGCAACTGCCATCAACTCCTGCTCACCACCTTGGCGTATGTCGGCGACCTCGAGGACTCGACTCAAAGTTTCGTAACAATCATCGTTGAAATCCTTCATGGCTGGTCAATGACATTTCTGTCCGGGGACAGTTGCGGGCAGAGTGGTGGGAAGAGCCGCCCCAGTTGTTGCAGTTAGATGATTTGTATTGCGAGGAGACAGTGGAATCGAATCGGCGAATATTGATCCTGCCAGAACCGTCATATTCGTCTTCAAATTGGGAATCCGCGCCAACGGCAACGGAATACAGCCGTTCTTCCTGTCTCCGTTGGCCATCAATCTTGGCATCCTTGTAGTTGGAGTTCTTGTGGAACAATTTGGATACAAACATAGGCAGCAAGAATGCCCAACAACACACGCAGATCAATGATGCTGCCACCAGGAAGAATGCGGAAGGATCATCCTTGACAACTACCAAAATTGGAGCACCCAGAAGGAGTGTCTCCGTGAGACTGGCCATACTCCAAGTCAAGTAGGTTGTTTCTGAAAAGTAGACAGTGACATTTCTGACCTCGTAGCATTTATAGGCAGCAAAGAGGACTCCACAAGTGTTGGCAGCGCAGGCTAGGCCTGCGAAGAGGTAGACCCAACTGTCGGAACTTTCGCATCTGCCATAAGACTCTAAACTCCGGCCAAAAATGTCAAAGTTGTTTGTAGGAGTCCTTACATACTTCAAAGGAGACACAATTGTCCATCCAATCAGCATGGCCACATTCCACACCATCAGTGCAATGAATGGTTTCATCACATCTCTTGCCTTCACCTTGACACGGCGCATCCCATGGGCTGAACCAACTAGTTTTTCAAGTCTCCACGTCTTTGCTAGGATGGCTGAAACTGAGATTACAAAGCCAAGAAAGAGCAGCCATGGAATCGACATGCATGCCTTGTCCAGTTGAGGAGTAGATTCTTTTCCTTGCATGCTGAGAGGGAAAATGGCAGTTGCCATCACAATGCATCCCATGCACAACTGATACAAGAAGATGGGTTGAGCTGCCGACACAACAAACTTCTTTTGGTTCAGATAAGTCCAAAGGATGCAACCCAAAGACATGACAACAACAGTCACTCCCATGAAAATGCCGAGGACTTGGAGTGAAAGTGGGATCAAGTGGTAGTTGTAGTCTTCAATTGGAGGAAGGGGTAGGGGTGGTATTGTAGAGTTGTTGGAATATACAAATGGCCACTGGTTGTAGACTTCATTCCCTCGAATCCAGGCACATTCTGCAGCATCTAGCCTGTGCAATACACGGCTCTTAACCTTATTCGCGACTCGATCCTAGATAGGGTTTGAGTTCGACTCATGACTGAGTCTTTCGTGAATAGTCATTAGTCATTGAGACAGGGTTCTCATGACCGCTAGTCATACTAGGTCGATGGTGAAACATCGCGCTAGATATTTAGCTGGCGTGGAGAGATTCCACGCTACTAGATAAATGCTAGACGAATCTTCCACGCGTTCCGTTTGGGATCGTGGAGTGAGTAGGATTGCTACCGCAACCTACTCTATCACACTCTACAGTCTCCCGCGGGAGTTCAGATCTACGATCCTTCGATTGTGTGATCTCTCTCGTCTTTCATAGCTTTCTAATCCTCTCATAACTTTCATTCTCTCAAACTCAAAACACTCGAAAGATATTTTACACTAGCTTTTAGCGTAGTGCATTTTGTTAACAAAACACAATAGCTTCAGCTACCCTCAACCTATTCCTCACCATGAAGATTGCCAAAGACGCATACACCAGCTTCGAGTCTAAGCTGCGCGACAACCAATCCTTCCTCTCATCGACCTCGACGATGACTGCGAAATCGACGATTCTCGCTCTACCACCTACAAACTTCGCACTGTTCCAGCAGATGCTAACAGTGCACCAATACCATTGTGCATTGATTAATCTAGGGATCTAAGAGATGTAAAGTTTTGTATTTCCAAATAAGTGAGCAGTTATTGATTATTTCTAGAATAAGCCTGCCAATTGTAAAGCTGTAAAGCTGAATTGTAAGCTGTATCCCGTCGCACTCCCTTACAGCTGAAATGAAGCTGGAGCAAGAAAACGATAGGAGAGAGTCCCCAGCAAAGTGCTGAGTAAATTACCATCCCATGAGGAGCTTCCGAATGACAGCAAACTGTGGAGCCGGAAGACCCTTAGTGAAAATGTCGGCCCGTTGTTCCAGAGTCGGAATATACTTAGCCACGATGCCCTTCGACTCCCGATTTGGACCTGAAGAAGTGGTACTTCAATGCCAAATACTTGTTGCGCGCAGACATTTTGGGAACATTCACAAGAGACAGGCAACCCTGGTTGTCTTCGAACACTGTAGAGCGCACGAGACTGTCAGTAATTACGGCATATTCAGTTTGCTACCAATTTCTTTGAGCAAAGCTCGCATAGGAAGCAGCTCCCTCATTGACATGCTGAAGGCAACATACTCGGCAGCAGTGGAGCTCAAAGTAATATCAGTCTGTAGCTTGCTGGACCAGCGATG